CCAGCTGTACACCTTGTTATCTCTAATGTTCTGGGGACCTGGGTTCAAATCCTGCCATGACAGATGGTGGAATTTGAATTCAATAAAAATCTGGAATTAGGAGTATAATGATTATCATAAAACTATTGTTGAAGGTCAGAGGAAAAACCGATTTGGTTCACTAATTCCCTTTAGGGAAGGAAACTGCCATCCTTACCTGCTCTGGCCTACATGGGATTCCAGACACACAACAAAGTGGTTGACTCTTAACTGCCCTCTGGGCAATTAGGGATGGACAATAAATGCTGGCCCAGCCAGAAATGCCCTTATCCTGTGAATGAATAAAAAATATTGAGCCTATCCTCATAATTCTCTTCTTTAATACCCACTACATTTTTCTTTTTATCCTCTGCTACATCTTGGAATGGCTCCTTATCTCTGCTTTTCAGTTTTTCACCATATCCACAACACAGTGTCAGTGCTTCATATTGTAGGTGCGGAAGTTCAACATACAGACAGTCATATAGGCAGTCACCTTGAGTTAATTCTTGCAACCTGCCTAAATTGGAAGCAATTATTCCCAGCACCACTGGAACAAAATAAGAGCTGCTTTAGGGAACTGACAACCAATCAATCGATATGAGGTTGAATATGGGATTAGATAGCATTTATGTAGTAACAAGCAGTCATATAAAATGTACCACAGGCCAGATACAGCAGAAGTACCATGCTACTGTTGAATGCAGATGGTTATGACCCACTGTTTCCTTTCATTTGCTGCAACAAATTTTAAATGTAACAGGTTTGGTGATATGACCAGTTACATAGATCTCAGACTGTGTTCAGTATTAATTACAAGTCAGCCTGGTTACATTAGTCAACAACTAACTAGCTGGTTTATAATCAAAACCAAACTTACTGAACCAAAGATGCAAAGATTATCGACAGCTTGGATTTTGCAAATATCTTTTTTAAAAAATACTAACACACAAAAACACACACACACTCACACACACACACACAAAGTCTGGGGAGAAGTAAAAAACAAAAACTTTGCAGAATGTTAACACTAAAATATTTGGGCCAATGTGGTAGAGTTGACAGAATTCCCTTTGCTTCAGTTGGTGGATAGATTCCAGGCAAATCCTATTCAGTGACAATTTCCAGGTGTTGGCTATGAGAGAGTTTGGGGGCCTTTGTTGCTGGATAAAATGAGGCGGTACAAGGATGGTAGAAATGATCAGCCACCAAGACCAGAGCTGAATGCAACAACAGATTCTTCTGGTCAAGGTGATAGAATCTGCTCCTTTATTGACAGCTTTAAAATCCTTGTGTTGTCTACTGCGAAAAACAAAGACTGATTCTGGGATTAGGAGGCCTTTGCAATTCTAGCCATGAATGGCTTGCTAATTGCAACATTTTGAGTTTACCAAATGACATCCAGCCTATAGTGCCAGTAGGACAGCAAGTCCTGTTTTGCCCCACAGTTTCTTAAAATCCACAAATTATATATCCAGCATAAGTTGACTTTATGTTCCACTGTGAATATGTTGCAACATAAACTCAACACTATATAATTTCATCAGTAAGTCAAAGTCACGGCAGCTGCTGATTTTCTGGCATTTAGCAACAGGGGTGAGAAACATCAAAATAAAACAAATAACTGCAAGATTGGAAGGGAGTAAGTGTATCACAATTTTATGCAGTTCACTGTGATATAAAACTGATTGAGGGGTTTGGCCAATATTGCTGTGATTACTTTTAACATAACATGCTGTTCACCTTGCAGGACATCAATATTGGCATTTCACTGGGATCGTTCTAAAACCAGGGTTCCCAAAGAACATCTCTGAATTTGGTTTTCCAGATAGTGTTATGCAAATAGATGCTGCAATGCAAGTTAAATTCAACTGGATAATGTTCTTTGTGGGAGATCAGTACTGGAGGTATGTGTTTTTGGAACTTTTCATAAGTTTAACCCATCATCTGATGTTTTCACAGTTGTGTCTGCACCAGTTCTACTTTTTAATGTCAGTCTCTGCCTTTTCCCCGTTTCCCTGCAAACCATTTCAAACCAAACAATCACCCATTGCCCTCTTGAATGCTCAATTGAACCTGCCTCCAGCACATTTCCATGTAGTGCATTCCATACCCTAATTACTCGCTGTGTGAAAACCTTTTCTTTCACGTTATAAAAACCAAAGGTCCTGCAGATGCTGTAAATCAGAAACAAAAACAGAAAATGCTGGAAAAACACAGGTGGTCTGGCAGCATCTGTGGAGAGCAAACAGAGTTAACGTTTCCAGTCCAGTTCTGAGGAACTGTCACTCTACCCCAAAACGTTAACTCCGATTTCTCTCCACAGATGCTGCCAGACCTGCTGAGCTTTTCCAGCAACTTCTGTTTTTATTTCTTTCACATTACCTTTTCTTTATTTGCACGTTGCCTTACATCAATGTCCTCTGAATTTTTCTTTCTTTTATGAATGGGAACGGTTTCTCCCTTTGTACTCTATTCAGCCCACTCATGGTTTTGAAAACCTCTATCAAATTTCCTTTCAGCCTTCTTTTTGCCAAGAGAACAGTCCCAACTTCTTCAACCTTTTCCCATGTCTGAGATTCTCGTTCATGGAATGATTTCTGAAAATCACTTCTGCACTCTTTCCAATACATGTTCAATATCACCTCCTTGCTTTTGTACTCCATATAACTATTAGTAAATCTGAGAATACTGTATGTTTTATTAACTGCTTTCTCCATTTGTCCTGTCACATTCAAAGATCCTGCACCCCTTTTGAATTTTACTCTCTATGTTAGTTCTTGTGGTTGTGTGTGGCCTGCAGATTACAACGTACTGCGACTTGTAATTCTTCTCTTTAGCTATAATTTAGATGAAAAGCAAATGAGCAGCCGAAGCCCAAGCTTAATAACAGACACCTTTACAAACATTTCAAAAGTGGATGCAGCTTTTGAGCATCGTGGTAAGTGTCCACTTGTTAGAGGAAAATAAATTATTGTGTAATAACAGCAGCAACATTTAAATAATAAAATCAATCTGTAAGATGTTGGGTAAATGCATCAGTGAGATTTCAAATGCTCATTTATTTAATTCAGAAGCTCCTAATTGAATGGATCTGTTTACATTGAGAATGTAAGGACTGATTGTAGTGCAAAACCTATAGGAACACAGAGGCAGAATCTGACATGGAGAACAGAGTAACTATTTACATTGGAAAATCCAGCATTGTCACAATTCAGATGCTGTCACTGCCATTTTCCATGTTCTAATAAAGCATGGTCCCAGTAGCGGAGCCTCACTAAATTAACCCCAAGTCACCTTCGAAGAACACAATTTTGAGATGCAGTGTAATTTGGATGTGTGGAAGCAAAAACAAGAAAGCAGATTACTACCTGAATGGCTGTAAATTGGGAGAGGGGAGTGTGCAGCAGGACCTGGGTGTCCCTGTGCAATAGTCACTGAAGGTAAGCATGCAGGTACAGCAGGCGGTAAAGAAGGCAAATGGTATGTTGGCCTTCATTGCGAGAGGTTTCGAGTACAGGAGCAGGGATGTGTTGTTGCAGTTATACAGGGCCATGGTGAGACCACATCTGGAATATTACATGCAGTTTTGGTCTCCTTTTCTGAGGAAGGAAGCTCTTGCTCTCAAGGGAGTGCAGCAAAGGTTTACTGGGCTGATGCTGGGGATGACGGGTCTGACTTATGAGGAGAGATTGATTCAGTTCGGATTGTTTCCGCTAGAGTCTAGACGAATGAGGAGGGATCTCACAGAGAATTATAAAATTCTAACAGCACTGGACAGGGTAGATGCAGGGAGGATGTTCCCGATGGTGGGTGTGTCCACAACCAGGGGTCACAGTATGAGGAATCGGAGTAGACAATTTAGGACGGAGATAAGGAGACATTTCTTCACCCAAAGAGTGGTGAGCCTGTGGAATTCATTACCACAGGAAGTAGTTGATGCCAAAACACTGAATGTATTCAAGAAACGGCTAGATATAGCACTTGGGGTGAATGGGATCAAAGGTTATGGGGAGAAAGCAGGATTAGGCTACTGAGTTGGATGATCAGCCATGATTGTGATGAATGGCGGAGCAGGCTCGAAGGGCTGAATGGCTTCCTCCTGCTCCTATCTTCTATGTTTCTATGTCTCTCTTTTTTAAGAATTTGTGCTTTTTAGAGAATTGGATTATCTTACCATAATGTAAACGTTGTGCATTTTGCATGATTTTCCAGTGTGCCACAATTCACATATGTCACATTCACATTTTTGTGACATACTTCAGAGATACATAAAGGAACAAAGAGATGGTTTTAATGTACAAACTAAAGAATGGACAGCTCCCAAGAGCAGGCCATTAACACAATTTCTGTTCAATTTAGTAATTCAAGAAAAATCCATGTGGCACTATATGCTGTTAATCTAGAATTGTAGTCATTAGATCTCTCTCCAAGTCTGACCTTGCTGAATTTTGTAGGATCACCAGAAAAGCATCTGATTTAAGATGCGGCACATTGACATCTCTTAGATGTATCTGTACTGCCCCCGTCCATTCTGTCAGGACTGTGTGTCTGCCAACAGTTGGAGCAGGGAAGCAGAGTGCAAGACTCTACCCAATGGAATCCCCCAATCAGTCTCCTGGTGCAAGGAAACCAATTACGAACTGTGAAACAAAGTACTTTGTATTGTGGAGTTTCTGAAGCATAAGCTGTAGATTTGTTGATTGCACTTTCATCTCTGAGTCATAGAGTCATAAAGTCATACAGCACAGAAACAGAGCCTTCAGGTCCAACTCATCATCGCTGACCAGACATGCTAAACTCATCTAGTCCCATTTACCAACATTTTGGCCCATATCTCTCTAAACCCTTGCTATTCATGTACCTGTCCAGATGCCATTTAAATGCACCAGCCTCCACCACTTTGTTTGGCAGCTTGTTCCATACATTCACCACCCTCTGTGTGAAAAAGATGCCCCTCAGGTCCTTTTAAATTTTTTCCCTCTCGCCTTAAACCTATGCCCTCTAGTTCTGGATTCCCATAGCCTGGGGAATAAGCCTGGTCTACTCATCATATCCACGCCCCTCATGATTTTAAAAGGTCACCCCTCTGCCTCTGACACTCCAGGGAAAAAAGCCCCAGCCTATTCAGCCTCTACCTATAGTTTAAACCCTCCAAACCCGGGTGTGGAGGTGTCAGTGTCGGACTGGGGTGGATAAAGTCAGAAGCCACACAACACCAGATTGTAATACAACAGTTTTATTTGAAATCACACAAAGCTTTCGGAGTGCAGCCCTTTGTCAGGTGCAGTGAGAGAGCAGAGTACACCAACCCAAAGTTTGTAGGCAGAGAGATCAAAAGATCATACAACTTGTGTGAGTGGAGTGTCAGATGATAAGTCTCTGCAGGTGACCAGGAGTGTTAGACAGGGAGTCAAGTGCCAATAGCTAAATAACCAGTGAAGGGGTAACCGATAATTGAATTAAGTGAGGCAGAGAGATAATAACAAAAAATTTAAAATAAAAGTGCTGCCGGGGACAAACCAAATGACTGGAATAACACAATAGGTATGAGTCACATGCCATGGGTCTAACCAAAGTAATAAATAATTCAAAACTGTACAAACTAATTAAGGTAGAGAGATCTTAACAATTTATTTCCTTACTGTCCTGTTTTGACAACATCACCTTGATAAATTGTTACTCAGCTGTTGACACTTGACTCACCATCCAACACTCCTAATCACCTGCAGAATGTTATTATCTGACACTCCACTCACACCAGTTGTATGAGCTTTTGATCTCTCTGACTATAAACTCTGTCTGTGTGCTCTGCTCTCTCACTGCACCTGACAAAGGGGCTGCAATCTGAAAGCTTGTGATTTCAAACAAATCTGTTGGACTATAGAGATAACAAGGTGCAGAGCTGGATGAACACAGCAGGCCAAGCAGCATCAGAGGAGCAGGAAAGCTGACGTTTCACGCCTAGAGATAGTAGGAACTGCAGATGCTGGAGAATCCGAGACAACAAGGTGCAGGGCTGGATGAACACAGCAGGCCAAGCAGCATCATAGGAGCAGAGAGGCTGACGTTTCGGGCCTAGACCCTTCATCAGAAATTCATTTCTGAAGAATTTTTCATTTCTTTTCAATTCATTTCAATTAATTCTTCATTTCTGAAGAAGGGTCTAGGCCCGAAACGTCAGCTTTCCTGCTCCTATGATGCTGCTTGGCCTGCTGTGTTCATCCAGCTCTACAACTTGTTATCTCAGATTCTCCAGCATCTGCAGTTCCTACTATCTCTGTTGGACTATAACCTGGTGTCATGTGACTTCTGACTTTGTCCAAATCTGGCAACATCCTCGTAAACAAAAACAGAAGATGCTGAAAAAGCTCAGCAGGTCTGGCAACATCTTAGTTCTGAGGAAAGGTCACCAGGCCTGAAACGTTAACTCTGATTATTTTTCTTTGCAGATGCTGCCAGACCTGCTGAGCTTTTCCAGCAACTTCTGTTTTTGATCCTCTGTCTCCTACCTTCTGGCCAATTTTGTATCCAATTGGCTAGTTCTCCCTGGATTCCATGTGATCTAACCTTGCTAACCAGTCTATTATGCAGACACTGTATTACTGAGTGAGGGCCAAAGCGTCAAAGGTGTCACTTTTTCAAAGAGAAGTTAAACTACCAGCTCAGATAGATGGAACCGATTTCATTGCCCTGTTTTGAAGAAGAGCAAAGGACTTATTCCTTGTGACTTGGCCAACATTGCCCTTCTCAAACAATGTCACAGAGAAACAATTCTGTTCATTATCACATTGCTGTTTCTGTTGAGTCTGTTGTATTGAATTGGATATGGCAGTTCCCACAATGCAACTGAGACTACACTAAAAACTTATTGTTGAAGCTGGAGGAAAATTAGTCATAGAGTTCCCCACGGGTTACCATTGGGATCCTTGCTTTCCTGATATACATACAGAAATGATCTAGATATTGGTGCGCAGAGAACTATTTCACAATTTGTGGGAGAATTGTACACTGGAATAAAGACAGTATGGAGCTTCAAAACTACATGGACAAGTTGGTGGAGTGGATGGAAAATGAAGCTCAATGTGGAAAAGTGTGAGGGGATACATTTTGTTACAAAGAGCATAAACAGGCAGCATAAAAAAGGTACTATTCTGAAGGGTGGGCAGGGGCAAACAGACCAGTGTATTGTGACACAGTGGTGGTGTCCCTATCCCTGGACTGGGAGGCCCAAGTTCAAGTCCCACCTGCTCTAGAGGTGTGACGTAAGTACATAAGTCAGTGAAGGTGACAGGACATGTAACAAAAACAGTTAATAAAATATATACAATTTTAGGCTTCATTAATAGGGGCATACAGTACAAGACAAAAGAGATTTTGCTGAACTTGTTTAAGACACTAGTTAGAACTTATCGGAGTACTGTATTCAACTCCAGGCACCACACTATAAGAATAAAATGAATCTACTAGAGGAAGTGCAGAGAGGTGTAAGAAGAATATTTCCAGGGATGAGAAACTTCAGTTGTGTGAAGATTGATTGGAGAAGTTGGCATTGTTTCCCTTCGAGAGAAATTTAAGACAATTTATTGAATTTCTCAGAATCATGAGGGTTATGGATTGAATAGACAGGGAGAAACCTTTTCTATTTGTAAGAGGATCAAGAACCAAAGGGCACAGATTTGAAGTGTTTTGCAAAAGAGCCAAATGTAAGGTGAGAAAATAAATTTTTTTTCACACAGCGAGTAGACAGTGTTTAGAATTCACTGCCTGGAAGTGTGGTGGAGGCAGGTTCAGTTGAATTATTCAAGAGGGAGTTGGATAGTAATTGTGTGCAGGGGTATGGGGAAAAGGCAGGAGATTGAGACAAATTCAAAATGCTCTGGACCAACATAGACTCGATAGACCAAATGGCCTTTATCTGCTCCATAACAATTTGAAGGGTCAGGTGGTGATGTAGTAGTAATGTCACTCAGGTTGATGTTTTAGGGACAGGGGTTTAGGTCCCACCATGGTATATGATTTCAGTAAGTGGTTTGAATATAGTGGATGGGTTTGGCCAAAGGGTCTACTTCCATGCTGTATGACTCTAATTCAATTCTGATGCTGCTTCCTATCCTGACAATAGCTATGGCTCCAAATTCCACTATTTTGGTGACTATTACATTTTATTTCTCATGAAATATCAGTTTAGAATCTTCATGTAATATCTTCGAGGCCAGTTTGCAGGAATTCCCAACATAAGGAGTCCATGCTCCCTGTTCTGCCTATGGTTCCTTGTTGTCAATGGTCATGTATAAAGTGGGCAGAAGTTTTGTTCATTACAAGGTCAACTCTAAGCCCTCAGAGTCAGTGGGAATCTGGCATCTGTTTCTAAGATATTCTACACTGTTGGAGTTATAACATGGATTGGATAGAACTCACAAGAAAATGCAGCACTTATGTTCTAACCAAATACTTAAGTCGCTATTTTGCAATTTCAGGGACTTATTATCTCACAAGTGGACCTCTTATATACCAATATCTGGAGACGGAATTAGTAGAAATTTTCCAACTAGGTGGGTGGATGGATTGTAACTAAATAACCATGTTTTGCTATTGCACTGTTGTGTATTGCAACTCACAGAGAATAGTGCTCATAGCAGATGGATTTGTTACCTTAAGTTTAAAACAAAATTAGATGTTCAACAAAGCTTAATAACTAACATGTTTGCAATATAGCTCCTGTAGTTGAATTTGAAAATTTCAGTTATTGTAATAGCTCAATCTATTATATTTACTAAATTAGAAAATATAAACATATCTTTAAGCATATATCAAACTATGAATATACTTTATTATGCAGTAAATGTGTTACTTGTCATTTCTTACATATTTACATCGCAATCAGGTTAGAAATTCATGATATTTGGAGAAACACATTTCTTTCTACTAATCAGTAACATCAATGCATTCATGTCACAAACTTGATCTCAAAGATCCTATTCAAAATAAAGATCAAATTCATGGAAACTACTGTTGTCATTTGTGTTTGTAACAACATTAGATTTAACATGAAGAAAAACAAAAAAATCCAAAGAACTACGGATGCTGGAAATCAGAAACAAAAACAGAAATTGCTAGGGACACTCAACAGGTCTGGCAGCATCTGTAGAGAGAAAACAGAGTTAATGTTTCATGTCCAGTGACCCTTTGTTAAAACCAGCATTCTCTGTTTTTGTTTCAGTTTTCTACTGTCCATAGTCTTTGTATTTACTTCAATTTTTTGGCACTTTGTCCCAGCTATGTTAGAAGTAGCAAAGCCATCTAACCTTCACTGCTCACATACTCTCAAAAACAACCAAACTCAGTAAGCTTTAATAATGCACATAATTTAAAGATGCCAGAAGTATAAATCCTCAAGATGTAATTATAAAGCATGTGCAATAGGAATTTGACTGCAGTTTGGGTGAATATTTCACAGTATAACTATATTTTATTTTCTTCAAGTCCTTTGGGAAATTTCAAGTCTGGGCACAACTTCTGCCAATTCCATCAATGCTCAGTTGACTTCAACTCAGATTCATAAATCAGCCACTTTTTTTAGGCAGAGCAGGTGACAGTATCAAGAAATAACCAAGGGCTGAATTTTATCAGAAATCAGCTACATGCCATTTTTGCCTTGTTTCTTGGATGGTTTCCCACCACAAGTCCTATCGAGTTTTTTCGTGCAAAGTTTCAAACTCTTCTCATTAAGACAACTCAAAGCTGGGTGGTAGAGTGAACTTTGAGGGGTATGCAGAGGTGCTTCAGTGTGATTTAGGTGAGCTGAGTGAGTGAGCAGATGTGTGGCCAATGCAGTATAAAGTGGATAAATGTGTGGTTATCCACTTTAGTGGCAAAAACAGGAATTATTATCTGAATGGTGATAGATTGGGAAATGGGAGGTGCAACGGGACCCAGGTGCAATTGCAGCAGGTGGTGACAAACACAATGGTATGTTGGCCTTTATAGCGAAAGGATTTGAGTACTTGAACAGGGATGTCTTGCTGCAGTTATACAGGGCATTGATGAAGCTACACCTGGAATATTGTGCGCAGGTTTGGTCTCCTATCCGAGGAAAGATGTACTGATTATGGAGAGAGTGCAAAAAGGTTTACCAGGCTGATTGCTGAGATGGCAAGACTGACATATGAAGAGAGATTGGATCGGTTAGCACTATATCCACTGGAATGCAGAAGAAAGAAGGGGACCTCATAGAAACCTATAAAATTCTAACAGGACCAGACAGGGTAAATGCAGGAAAGATGTTTCCAATGACCAGGGAGTTCAGAATCAGGTGTAAAGTCTAAGGATACAGAGTAGGCCATTGAGGACTGAGATGAGGAGAAATGTCTTCACCCAGAGGCTGGGGAGCCTGTGGAATTCACTACCACAGAAAGTGGTAGAGGTCAAAACACTGAATGTTTTTAAGGAAGAGTTAGATATAGTTCTTAGAGTTAAAGGGATCGAAGGGAATGGGAAGAAAGCAGAACAAGTTACTGTGTTGGATGATCAGCCATGAACATATTGAATGGCAGACCAGGCTTCAAGGGTTGAATGAACCTGCTCTTGCTCCTTTATTCTACATTTATAATCGATGACAATAGTGGCACCATTAAAGGGTGACAGGGTAGTACAGAGGAGGAGTGTCTTCTTTCCCCAGAACCAGCAGAGGAGGAGGCCATGACTCCAGGCCCTGCCAGGCTGCTCTGAGGTTGCTACCTGGGTCAGTGCAGTTTCCATGGCCCAGAGAATACCCAAAACAACAGGAAAAGGCACTCACTCTATCTCTGCTACTGCACCCACCTCCCATCAAGGCTCAGGCTCTACCACTCCCACGTATGCGTGCAACATCTTCTCTCACTCACTCACTTGCCCCCCTCCTCCTGCACCATGTAAGCCCTCTACACTGTCTACTCACTCACTCACTCAGGACACCACCTCCTTCCCAGGGGTAACAACTGGGCCACCCATTTTCATGTCACTTAATCCCTCCTTTTCCCTCATTACAGAATAAAATGGTGAATAATCAGGGCAAAAGAGACAGGATGGGTGGTGGGATTCCCAATTTTCATCTCTTCAAACTCTCTGAGAGAATCTTGGCCTTGGCAGGTGAAAATTGGGACCAATCCTGTAGAGATGCTAAAACCTGCATATCCCAGCAACTGAGAAAGAAACCTTGTTCATTGATGCGCTTCCCACTCACTTCCCTTCTGTGTATGGCCTGCTTACATATCATAATCACTTGTTCACATCACATTCTGTCATAGAGTCATACTCATCCTTCAAAACCTTTCCAATTCATGTACTTATTCAAATGTCTTTTAATCTCAAAACTGGACCTGCATCTACCACTTCCTCTGGCTGTTTATTCTATTTTCTAGCCACCCTCTGTATGAAAAAGTTGTCCCTTGTGTCCTTTTTAAATCTTTCCCTCTCACCTTAAAAATATGGCCCCTAGTTTTGAACTCCCCTACCCTAGGGAAAAGACCTTTGCTATTCACCTTATCCACGCCCTTCATGATTTTATAAACCTCTATAAGGTCAACATTCAACCTCCTACTCTTCTGTGAAAGAAGTCCCAGCCTATCCTGCCTGTCCTTATAACTCAAACCCTCTAGTCCTGGCAACATCCTTGTAAATCCTTTCTGAACCCTCTCCAATTTAGTAATATCCTTCCTATAACAGGGTGACCACAACTACACACAGCCTTTTGTCTTCTGCAGATATCAGTAGAGTGTCCGGGGAACTACAACCAAAGGGAAACCTCCAACACATCTCCTCCTCCATCTCCAAGGACGAGAGCACTGACCCCTCCCAGGGGGCATCAGTAAGGCTGCCTTCTGCACCCTCCAGTAGCTCAGGTTGTGATCCACTGGTGATATTTGATCCAGTTTAGAGTGGGTAGCCCCTGCTGGTGGGCACTTCACTACCACGTCTCTGCAGCTGGCAGAGAGAGAAATGCTCTAGATCGTTGGCCCTTGGAGGATTAGCAAGACCAGACAGGAGAGCAGCCCCATGCTGCAGCAATTAGGAATTTGATACAAATGCACAAGCAGATACAGGAGCAGAAGCAGGTTTGTCAGGGGGCACTGTGACTCTACTGCCTCAGGCATGCGATTGCCTGGCTGCCCCCATGGACAGATTGGTGCATACTAAGGAAAGCAAGGAGTGGGCACATTATATGGATGTGAGATTGATGTAGCACACTACTATACAGCAAGATGTCCTCCCCCTTGACTGATGACTGCTGTTAAAGATGCCAAGCTGCCTGACTTTGTGTCTGCACCAAACAGTGAGATGAGATGGAAGAAACTTGAAGCTGTAGCTGAGGGGCTAAAGCACAAACAGGTAAGGTAAGACAAATATGCTGTGGGCATCCAGGTAGACGCTAAGTGACTGAGAGCTAAGTGAGCATGTGAGTAGCCCTGAGACACAGCCTGGTCCGTCCATGAGCAGGTGTCTGTCTGAATGAGACAATGTGGAACTTCAAAAGGACACTAACAGATTGGTTGAGTGAGCAGGTAGGTGGCAGATAAAGTTCAACACAGAGCAGCGTACATTTTATGATATATTTTGGCAGACAGAACATAAGAACACTATAAAATAAAAGATGCTAGCTTAAAGAATGTGCAGGAAAAGAGAGACCTGTGTAGTTCTGTGGATAGGTCATTTAACACAGTAGGACAGGCAATTAATAAAGCATACAGAATTTCTAGGCTTTATTAAAAGGGACATACAGTACTTGAGCAGGGATGTTATGCTGAACTTATATAAGAAACTAGTCAGACCTCAGCTCAAGGACTGTGAATAGTTCTAAGTTAGCAGATGTGAACTGGACTTCATTAGTAAATGCATGGTAGACTGTGTACCAAAGAAGTTAATCCGAGAGTTCCTCGGATGAAGCAGCAAATCCACTCCCTACAGAAGACCAGACGTGCAGCATTCAAATCGGGTGACTCGGACCAATACAGAGAATCCAGGTATGACTCCACAAGGCCATCAGGGAGGCCAAGAGGCAGTACTGGACCAAGTTAGAGGCCAAAAGCAACCAAACAGGCTCCCGCCATCAATGGCATTACGGGATACAAAATGAAACAGTGTAAGATAGCAGATATCCCTCCCTGACACACTCAATGCCTTCTACGTTCGGTTTGAGCAGAATACCACCAGCACGGTGACACCTGCCCCGACAGCCCCAGACACATCTGGTCCCCCTGTCACTGCTGCAGACTCAGATCAGTCTCACTGGGAGTCAACCCAAGGCCCAGACGGTGTCCCCGGCCGAGCACTCAGATCCTGTACGGACCAACTGGCGGAGGTATTCACCGACATCTTCAATCTCTCCCTCCTACAAGCCGAAGTGCCCACCTGCTTCAAGAAGACCATCACCATCCCCGTACCCAAGAAAACACACGCACTGTACCTTAATGATTACCACCCAGTGGCTCTGACTTCAATAATCATGAAGTGCTTTAAGAGACTGGTCATGGCCCACATCAACTCCAGTCTCCCAACCTGCCTCGATCCCCCACAGTTTGTGACTGACATAACAGATCCTCAGTGGATGCCATATCCCTAGCCCTGCACTCATCCCTGGAATATCTGGACATCAAGGACTCCTATGTCAGACTCTTGCTCATTGACTACAGCTCCACCTTCAACACCATTATCCCCTCCAGACTGATCGCAAAACTGCATGTCCTTGGTCTCAGTTCTGCCCTCTGCAACAG